ATTGACTGAGCCCTTGTGGTGTGGGGGGGGGAAGGGGGGGTCTTTGTGCACGCCGGCCTCTCTGCATGTCGGAGTGAATGTCGGCGCGTGTGTGTGTGTGTGTGTGTGTGTGTGTGTGTGTGTGTGTGTGTGTGTGTGTGTGCGCGTGTGTGTGAGAGAAAAAAGAGAAGAAGTCAGGCAGGCCTGTTTGTAGCCTGGGGTGGGTGAGTGCAGGTGTCTATGCAATGTGCATGCAGGTGTGTGTGTGCGCGTGCGTGCGCGCGCCCAGCTTTGTTTTGTGTCGACATCTGTACGGACGTAGCTACAGTATGTAGGGCGCGAAGGGTATTGTGTGTAGGTGTTTGCGTGTAGTCGTGTGTGTGCAAGTAACTGTAGGTAGGTGCCTGTGTGTTCAGGTGTGTGTGTGTGTGTGTGTGTGTGTGATGAGTCAAGTAGGTCACTCCTGGCTCTCCTTCAGGGCTCGAGAGCAGGGAGCGGCCTTGACCACACCACGATCGTTGTCTAAACCTTAATCACTCCTAAGTACGTCATGTTTTCAGGTGTGCAATTGGCTGACGAAAATGAGATGGGGGGAGGGGGGGACCTGCACTTTGATTGGCAGCTGGTTCTTGAGTCATCTTCTGTGTTTAACTTCCCCGATGCACTGTGTGTCTTTGGTAGCAAAACCAGGAGAAGACTTATGCAGGCAGAGAAGAGCTGAGGAACTCAATCAACAAAGAGCCCATCTATGAGTGGGAGGGCTCGCAGCGGGACAGCCTGGGACCCATAACCTATGTCACCAAAGTTCGTTTGCAGCATCTGCCATGTCAGGTACAACCAAAACATACACGAACGTTCTTTTCGTAGCTTCTGGAGAAACATAAAGGAGCTGCATCACTTGTGTTCAGGCTCATGGAATTGTTGACGCGACTTGAAGAAAGTAGGAAATGAGTCACAGAGTGTTCGAATTGTGTAATACATTTATTGCTTCCACCGCAAAATATAAGGGCTGAGTATAAAAGGTGGAGTGTTGTGGCCTCTCCTGCACACCCATTTCTTGCCTTTATTTGTGTTTAAACAAATGATTAGCATAGTTAGATCTGGCACAGGAGTGAACTACTTTATACTGTTGCACAGTCAGGATTTTGCTTTCGGGGCAAGTAGAGAAAAGCATCAAGCGATACGGTAGCTTGTGCTGTGAATAAAAATCAAAAAACATTGCTCTTGTTCTTAATTTTACAATAAATGCAGGTTCGTGATTGATTGGAAATCAAATGTGTATTGATAAATCGAGCCCAAGTTGTTTTATAAGCACATTTTAAAGGGAAAAAAATACGGAGAAGTGCTGTGCAGATTAAAATATGAAGTAAAACTCACGGTAAATGACGAACTCCTTATAGACCTTGTTTTTATAAGTCGTAGGCTGTGTATGTTTGTGTTCCTGCCACATCTCCCTATTTTTTCTCTGCGGTGTGGATCAGCTAAGACCGTTTATAACCAAGTTGCCTTGCAAATAGCATTAGCACGTTTTGTATTGGACCTCTGGGGCACAAACAACCGCACTTCACAAATTCTGATTGGCCACACAAAAGTTCTCAAACATAACTACCATCTTACCCCCTAAATGGTCTTTTTTTTCCTGACCCGTGTAAATTAAATTCAATAACATTTAACATTGCCCTAATGTGCACAATGCACTGCTTTGGAGAAGGAGAACGTTGTCTAAAGCACGTCAGTGTTGCTGACATACTCCACTAGCAACGTAAAAATTAAATAAATAAAGCATCTCGCAAGTTTAATCCTCACTAAGAAACAAACATCTTAAATCCTTTTTCGCATTTTCTTCTTCTGTATGACAAGAAAGGAGTTGGGAAGGCAATCGCAGAGTCAATTGTCCTGAACATTGCCCAAAACATGGTCCCTGTGTAATGTGTCTTCAAGCTTGCAAATATTCTGCCGAGGTTACCTTGCCTCACCTGCACAGCTCAACATCAGAAAAGAGCATGAGAGCCAAAAATTATGTACACATAAAATCGGATATATGTCATCTCACAATCACATTAAAGCAATGGTAGGAAGCATTAACTGGTTTAGGATGTTAATTGTATTATTGGTGCACCACACCCCATCTGTAAGTATGCACGTTTAAAAAAAATTAAAATAAATAATAATAATAATGCAAATAATTTTGATGACCCTCAAGTTATAACTCATGCGGGCCCTAGTTTGGGAACCACTGCTCTATGTTGGATAGCCAAACATTTATCTAAGTTCTAGTTTTCCAGTAGGTGGCATACCCAAGTTGAACAATATCAAATAGAGATGGTGAAAAAAAATAAAACAAAACAGCAATCATGCCACAACGTGCTGGGATTGTTGAGATTTATTCACTGTGGGAACGAGCGGCTGCCCATTGAAGTGTGTTGAGATTCAGGGTGTGGGAAGTAACTACTCTCACCTCACAGCTGGAATGTCAGCCGTCTCCGCGGACACACCCTGTGTGAGAGTGAAGAAATTTAACCTACGCTTTCCAGACCTTTCACTGCCCAAAATTTACCAGGATTCATATTGGGCCTCTCTGCCGAGGATGAAAGGATCCAATTGGTGTTTTTTTTTTTCAAAGAGTTAAAAAGAGTCTGAAGGTGACCTTGGTGCATTTCCTGATTTAGTCTTATCTGTCCGCAAGACGTTATCAGGTTTTATTAACCTGAGAGCAAAATAATTTGATGCTGTTATGCCTTGTGCCACTTCAAAGCTGCAGAAAGAGTAGTGTAGGTCAAGAACATTTGGTCCCTGTTTTGTCTGCTGTTAAAAATATCGAGATAAAGAGATCAGCCAGGCACAAAAGTTTTTCAAAGAGTTAAAAAGAGTCTGAAGGTGACCTTGGTGCATTTCCTGATTTAGTCTTATCTGTCCGCAAGACGTTATCAGGTTTTATTAACCTGAGAGCAAAATAATTTGATGCTGTTATGCCTTGTGCCACTTCAAAGCTGCAGAAAGAGTAGTGTAGGTCAAGAACATTTGGTCCCTGTTTTGTCTGCTGTTAAAAATATCGAGATAAAGAGATCAGCCAGGCACAAAAGCAAAAAAGCCTGGGCTACTATCCGGAAACTAAACGGTGATAAGATCACACCACCCGTTATATCCGACGTAACACCAAACCAGGTTGGGAGCCAACTGGTGGCCAACGGGAGAAGAGCAGAAAGGCGCAGGGCTAAAGGACAACATCTTCTCACCACCATCCCGGGCAGTCAGCAGAACATGTCCATTCTAACCAAGCCCTTCACCTTTGAGGAGTTTGAAGATGGACTAAGCACCATGAAGCTGGGCAAAGCTGCAGGTCCCGACGACATACTGACAGAGATGATCACTCACCTTGGCCCAGCTGCCAAACAATGGCTCATGGACATGTACAACACCTGCCTCCAAACCCAGCACATACCAACAATCTGGAGGAAAGCCATCACCATTGCTCTTCAAAAACCTGGGAAAGACCCCAACTGCCCCAAAAGCTACCGGCCCATCTCCCTACTCTGTATCACCTACAAGCTGTTCGAGAGACTACTCCTTGCCCGACTATCCCCCCAGATAGACACTGAGCTGATAAAAGAACAAGCCGGATTCAGAGCCGGGAAGTCATGCTCAGGCCAACTGCTAAACCTCACCCAATACATCGAGGACGGCTACCAGAAGAAGCTGATAACAGGCGCTGCCTTCGTAGACCTGTCGGCAGCTTATGATACCGTCCAACACAGGCTGCTGATCAAAAAACTTTTCGACCTGACAGCAGATGCCAAACTGTGCAATATAATAAGATGTCTTCTGAGCAACCGGATGTTCCATGTCACACTCAACAATAAAAAAAGCAGATGGTTCCACCAAAACAACGGGCTGCCGCAGGGCAGTGTCCTGGCACCCCTCCTCTTCAATGTTTATACCAACGACCAACCCCTACCAGAAGGATGCAGCAGGTTCATCTATGCAGACGACCTAGCCATTACAACGCAACAGCATACCTTCCCAGAAGTTGAGTCAACCCTGGAACGAGGACTCTCAGATATGTCTGCATACTATCTGGAAAACCACCTGCGTCCAAACCCTGGGAAGACCCAAATCTGCAGCTTCCATCTCAAAAACAGGGAGGCTAAACGGGAGCTCAATGTAACTTGGAACGGAATAAGGCTCGAAAACCACCAACACCCAGTCTACCTGGGCGTAACCCTAGACCGTACCCTCAGCTACAAGGAGCACATCAAGAACACAAGAGCTAAGGTGTCAACCAGGAACAGCCTTCTGCGACAACTGACCAATTCAAAGTGGGGAGCTCACCCAAGCACATTGCGCACGACAGCACTAGCCCTGTGCTATTCCACCGCCGAATATGCCTGCCCAGCATGGTACAATTCAAGTCACGCGCACAAAATAGACCCAATCCTCAATGAGACCTGCAGGATAGTGACTGGGTGCATCAAAACAACCCCCACCCCCTGCCTCTATGCCCTCTCTGGCATCTCCCCCCCTGACATCCGTAGAGCAGTCATCGCTAAAGCAGAGCGCACAAAGCAGGCCAACGACAACCGGCACCTACTTCATGAACACTATGCCCCCCAGAAACGGCTCAAGTCCAGGAGCAGCTTCTTAGATACCACTGCATTACTGGAGACCACACCATCTGCTGCCAGGATCACTGAGTGGCACAAGCAGTGGAATAGCCTGGGAAGCCAATACAATATGGGTAATTGATGATGAGCTCAAAAAGAGTGCATGAAACCAACAACTCCGTTTTTTTTTTTTTTTGGACAGCAACAAAGTGACAGACTACTGGTGATGTACACGTCAACGATGATCATCGATACAATGTGGGTAATTGGTGATGAGCTCAAAAAGACTGCATGAAACCAACAACTCCTGTTTTGTGTTGTTGACAGCAACAAAGTGATAGACTACTGGTGATGTACACGTCAACGATGATCATCTTATCAGAAGAGGAGAATGGCCTCTTCTACAAGGTATTGACAACAAAAATAAATACGTCGATTTATATACTGTGGTACCCACGGGCACCATTTCAACTCTTTAGCATCTCCCGAGCTGTGCGGATGCCTTGTGTTATCAAATGCTTCATGCTTATTATCTTTGTCAGGGGAAGCTTCCGCTCAACATGATCACAGTGACCACACCTTGCCAAGACGTCAAGCCCAACACCTTTATGATTGAAGGTAGCTACACAAAGCGCAATACAATAAGCGTGGTGTATTGTCAGTGTGGAATGCTGGCATCAATAACATCACAGTGCAGTGAATCATCAATATATTGGAGAAAGAACATGCATCCATCCATCCATCCATCCATTTTCCGATCCGCGGGCATCAATGACATCACAATGCGGTGATTCATCATTATATTGGAGAAAGAACATCCATCCATCCATCCATTTTCCAATCCACTTTATCCTCACAAGGATCACGGGGGGTGCTGGAGCCTATCCCAGCTGTTTTCGGGCAGTAGGCGGGGGACACCCTGAATCGGTTGCCAGCCAATCACAAGGCACACACAGACGAACGATCGACGCTCACACTCACACCAAGGGACAATTTAAAAGTGTTCCATTAACCTGCTATGCATGTTTTTAGAATTTGGAAGGAAACCGGAGTACCCGGAGAAAAGCCACGCAGGCAAGCGGATAACATTCAAACGCCACACAGGGAGGCCGGAGCCGGAATCTCGAAAGAACATGTTCGGTATATTGTGACATCTATGTAGCTGAAGAAGGGGGAAGATACCTAGCGGAGAACATTCAAACGCCACACAGGGAGGCCGGAGTCGGAATCTAGAAAGAACATGTTCGGTATATTTTGACATCTATGTAGCTGAAGAAGGGGGAAGATACCTTACACTTAAAATACACGAACACATTTAATTTCCTGTACACTTGAATTCATCCTGTATCGGGGGGAACCCCTCCCCCAAAAAAACAAACAAACAGGTATTTCACTTAATGATCAGAACTGTCTTTGACATATACAGTACTTTTAATGTTATGGATGTTGTACATGTGAATAACATTCGGTGCAGGGTTCGATTCCGGCTCCGGCGATCCTGTGGGAGTTTACATGCTCTCCCCGTGCTTGCGTAGGTTTTCTCCGGGTACTTCGGTTTCCTCCCACATTCCAAAAACATGCATGGCAGGCTGATC